CTGACTTAAATGATTACCTTTCTTTCACTATGGCTACCTGAGAAGATTAAATTAGAGCTTATTTTAGGAGAAGAAAATTAAGATTGCCTCGTCACTTATTCTTGGTCAGTGACATAAGGTTGGAGGCTGCGTGATCAATGCTGCCCTTCAGTGCCATTTCTTTTCTCCTGTGGAGCAGTAGTTTTGTGGTACAAATAGAATGACACAGCCATTTTGTTCCTTCTTGTTTCAAGGTTATACTGTAATGGCTGAAAGTCAAAAGCTAAGACCTGGACATTCTACAGGCTTAGCACCTTCCCCTCAGTTGCCATCGTCTGGATATCAGAATATCTTTGAAGACAGAGCTAATGCTCTGGTTGTTTCTTCCCATACACAAGACAACGACTCTTTACAAAAGCTGAACAGAGAATGCACCTCATCTTTGAAGAATAATCTTTCAGAAGTCTCTGCCTGTGAAAAGCAAGGTCTGTGTGTGTGCCTCTGAAAAGGCCAAATTGTTTGAAAAACAAGGAAGACAAATACATTACTGCTTAGTCATTTACAGAAAGATAACTTGCTATGTGGTGCTTTTTTTTCCCCTTGTCACTGAGAACAATTTTCTGCTACTTATTTTGAATGTTTCATGATTTTTGTTGGTTTACTTGGTATGTTGGCTTGTTCACTGACAGCTTACAGACTTCAGAATATTCCTGTTGTTGTCCATTAGAGTTTGGTTAAAAACAGCATGTCAAAAATCAAATTCTTCTCAATTTATGCATATATTTGTGGGAAACAGCTTGATAAGAGGGCTCATCAGTACAGCAGACATCAAAATTCGTTCAGTTATGTTTTTAAGCTGTACATTAACAGTAGCAAAGCAGATCAACAATCAGAACAGATTATTTAAGGTCTGTGGAATTTTTTTTAATGCTTAATTGCTTGTTCCTTTAAAAAGAAAGTGCAAATTCAAATAAGAATTAATTTGGGGAAATCTTAGGACTGTTTTATGTAGGAATTCAGATCATATGGCCGTGAAGCTCCCTTCTGCTTTTCACCTGACCTGAATGCTGTTTAAAGTATGTGCTGAAAACTGATTTGTTGTTGAGATGAAAAAAAAACCCCAGTCTGTTGCTTTCACAGGTAAAAACATGTGGTGTCCAGAAAAAAAGATGGAATTATTAATGGAGAGTGAAGATAATCACATTGATCCTTTAGGTGTGAGAAGCGCAGATGTGTCCGAAAATTCCAGTGGAGGTGAACATTTATTGACTAATACAGAGGAAAGGTAATTCAGACTATGACTGTGCAGTTTTTATCAAGTTACACAAGTTTGGTTGAATTCTGAGTCCTGATTGAAAGAGTCTGATACTCTGAATTTGTGCAATTTCTTAACAAAGGATTTGATTTCTCTAGGTACTGTGGAGACCTGTGGTAAGAGAGGCTCTTGCTTTGAATTGCTTGTGCTATGAAAGATGAAATGTGTGTAGGATGAAGAGGTGTGTGTGCATCCTGGGGTAATGACAGCTTTAGAAGCACCTTTCAGTATAGCTGGGTATATAAGCAGTTATGATTGCTGTTCCCAGTTTGACTTATTACAATGTCCTATCCGCTGTTATGTGCTGAAAGTAGTAATGAGAGGGAGGAGGACAAGGCTGTGACTTTTTAGTTTATTATGAGGAATTAGGATTGTTTGAAATGTTCAAGGCTGGAATGGATGGGGCTCTGAGCAGCCTGGTCTAGTGGAAGGTGTCCTTGCCCACTGCAGGGGGTGGGGAGGTTGGAACAAGATGATCTTTAAAGTCCTTTCCAACCCAAACCATTCTGTGATTATGTGATTCTATGAAATGTGGCTGTGTCTTCCCTGGATTTGGTCTTGCCCACCCTCAGCCTGCTTCCTGGTGGGGACAGCAGCCTGAAAAATCAAAGAAAGCCTTGTTGCTGTACAAACAGGGTTCAGTAATAGCTAAAATATTTATTATGTTATCAATGCTGTTGTAGTCGCAAAGCTGAAATAGCTGTGAAAAAGCTCATTCTATGCCAGCCAGACCCAGCACTCCTGTGAAGGAGGAGGAGTATCAAAGGGGGAGACAGGGAATGTAATCTCAGTAGTATTCCTGAGTGGAAAGGTGATACTGTAGGAATCGGCAGTGAGTGGAAACTCACACTCACTCACATAAACTATGAGTGGAAGTTTGGTGATTTGTCTGAAAGAAAGGTTCATTAAGAAAAGCAGTGAAAGAAAAAAACTGCATACAGCATCTTTTAAATACGTATGTTAATTATTGCAGGGATTGGATAAACATGTAGTGTTGAAATTAATTTCTCAGATTAAATTAATGCCTAAAGCACCTCAGAATTTGTCATCTTTTATGCACCTTAGGTCTTTGAATACCACTGATGTTAAATGTAGTTATTTTATACAGAATTATAAGAGTTGTTTTTGTAATTTCTCTAGACCTATTAAAGCTGCAATACATGAGAAGAAACAAACTTTTGAAGAATTCTTGGAAGAGCAGATACAACTAGAAGAACAGCGTCTGGAGCAAAACCAGAAGTTACAGGTTATTTATTATTACTTTAAAAACCTTCATTCTTCTTTATATATTGTGCAAATATGTGATAGGTGCTTTAAAAGTGTACAAGGAAGATGCTAGTAGGGAAAGATACCACT